TTCGCTTTCTATTAGGATTCGTTTGCATGAATACGTGATGAAACTGCGGAGAGTCTTGTCCCACGGGATCCTCATTTCGGTCTTAAATATCTTCTTCGCATCCGAATTCCTATTCGTAATGTAAAAAATGTTTTGCATACGCTTAAATGTGATATTTTGTGGTTGTTGCTAGTAGACAAGTAATGAGAACAAATGGAAAGCGTAGGTAGGTAAAAGTGGTAAGGTTGGAAAAGGCTATACAGCCCATCAAGTTATGGGATGTGGACCGAGAACCTTGCATCTTCGCCATTTCCTATCTTATTCTGGCGAGTCATCGGTTAAGTGCACGATGTCATCCATTATGTTACTCCAAGAAACCGTGAAAGCGTCCGTCATGACATTTTAAACGAGCTTATTTTAGCAAGAGCGAGAGAGAGAGAGAGAGAGAGAGAGAGAGAGAGAAAGAGAAAGAGAGAGGAAAGGCAATGACTCTGATGATACGACGAAAGGGACGGAGGAGAGAACCGTCATCCGCCTACGTCCACTTCCGCCCACTGGATGCACGAGACTGCGAGAGCGATAATAGAATAGATTGCGAACCGTGCAGCTGTCATCGAGTCCTTGTCCGAGACCATTTCCGTTCGTCGGTCGTTGGGCCTCGTATATTTTGAGGATGCGATCGACGTTTTGGGTGGACGCTCGGACGCTTTCAAAGCTCCCATCGCGACGACTTCGGTAGAAATCGATGGAAGTGGGGGCTTCGAGATCCTCGTCGACGTCCCTCAAGGGCGACCTTCGTTCGCGAGGGACTCGAGAGACGAGAGGAAAAGTCGAGGAAGCACCTGCCGATGCAAATCGGATCGTGATGCCCTTGCCAAGAAACCGTCGACCTCGGGCCGGCTCGGCGTGATGCGACGGGGACCCCGGGGAAAGTGGGGCCAGGAGGTTTCCCATTCCGGGACCCGATTTTCCCATCCCTGTGGGCGATGAAAGCCGTTACTCACTTCCTTCTTGCATATTTAATCGGACGATGACGAAGCAGACCATCGCGGAACACTTCCATCTGCTGCTTTTGACTGGAAAAATGCGAGTTTCTCTTATCGTTGCTTTCCTCCGTCCCGTACTTCCTTCACTTGCGTCATTGCTTGCTTCTTTATATAATTATACAAACGCTCATATAAAAAAAAGCACCAAGGAAAGTCGTAAGAGAATAAGGAGGACTCAGGAAATATGTGACAGGAAAAAATATCTCACATATTTTTCTCGAAATATTGTCAAGTCTCATGTCTAACAGTTGAAAGAGAGGACTCGGAGTGGCGCGTGTCCACATCCATGCCAAGATTCCTGGGGTATAAAAAAAAAATAACTGAGAGGGGACGCCACACGCTATCAAGGACTTCCAGGTGGAGGCCCCCCATGCCCCTCCCCCCTGCCCCCCCTGCCCCCCCCCTTGAATGACGCCAGTGCATCTAGGTAACTGTTCCAATTCCGAGCACGAGCTTGAATAAATCGGGGAAAAGAGAGAGGATATCGGCTGGATAAGCCTCATCTATGAATCTTTGATTCCTCGAATCGATAGGAACGAGACGTTCTTGATCGTTGCCTTCTTGCAGCGACTACGGTCTGTTCCGTGGGAATCAGGCATTCGCGTGCGTTCCATTCCGTACGGCATATATACCTGTATTCTCTTGTCTTCGATTCTTTAGGGGATGGGGGACGGGGTGTCCTGGACTCCCAAGGGGGTTCGGCGTTCCCCTATTTCTACCGTAGTTCCTCTCGTTCCTGCACGTCCGAACCTTTTCCGCTGGAAATAGCACGAGACCAGACCTCAACTCGCTGGTAGATACTGGAAATAGAGGGGAACGCGAAGGGAAGGGGGGACCTGGCTCCTGGAATCTCATCTCCTGGAATCTCATCTCCTGGAATCGACAGCATCTCGCACTGCGATTTTTCCTCACCCTTCCATTAATGCGTTCGGGTTCGAGTGGAGTTTGCGCGGAATGAATTCATTTCGCGTTGCGATTTCCGCCATCGATAGATCGGATTTTCGAGGACTCCAGAGAAATCGAAAGAAAATCGTAAAGTCATCCTGTCGTTCGCGCGTAATTGCTGCCGATTCCCAGAGCGGAGAGAAAGAGAAAATAGCGAAAAGACGAGACGAGAGGAAGGTATGCGAGCCCCTTTCCGATCTGAATCCAAGAGTCGTGATAGCATGCCGTCGAGCAAGGGGTAACTCGTTCCAACGTTCACAGTCATTACGGCTTCGCAGGCGATTCCTTGTCCCTCGAGTCTTCATTCCCTTCTTTTAAAGGCGACATCGACACGGAAAGGTCCAGTCCTCGCGATGGATATTCACCGATGATCTAAATGTCGCGTTTCTCTTTTGTAGAAAGTGACCAGTGGATGCAGCGGGATGAAGTGAATTGATGCAGCGGGATGAGGTGAATTGATGCAGCGGCATGGGGTGAATTGATGCAGCGGGATGGGGTGAATTCTGCGCATCACATCACGTTTTGCATAATCTATTTCAGTCATTTTAATGCCACGCAACAACTGGAGAAACGAGTTCGAGGCAATACGTACGTGAAAAACCCACAGTTTGGGATTTTCGATTTCTCGCGATTATGCGGAAAGTCGTCACCAAAGACGACCGAGATCACGGAACGTCCTCTAATAACGCGATTGACGGGCAAGGCCACTGCGGGTTCTCCGTGTTCACGGACGGTTCGCGCCTTGAGTCAAAATTAACAAGGCGTTTGCGGTCGTCGTGGGAGCGTGACGTGAATTTCAACGATAAGTCGTAAAGACTGCGCTCTTGTGTCGCCTTTCACGGGGATTGTGGCACGGTGCGACGGATGAGTAGGTGAAGACCAAGGAGGAGAAAAGGAGGGCAAGCAAGTCTAAGAGTAATCGGGGCGGGAAGGGTGAAGGAGGACGCGGATTTCTTACGTCGTTTCCATCAGAAGAAGCAGACGATGCTCGATTCGAAATTCCGGGAAGACGTGCAGACGATCGCGAAGGAGCGGAAGGATGCCGACTCGGATGCATCGGGAACGGAATGAATTTTTGGGATGGACAGAGGACACGTGGGGAAGAGAAAGAGAATAGTGACGAAAGGAGTCTGAGGAATGGCCCGGAATATCGGAACGGAGATCCGCCACGGAAGGACCCAGTAGATGACCGCACCGGTTCGTGTCGGATGGTTAAACAGCGTTTGTCCCTCCGGTCGGCAGAAATTTTCTCACCCTCTTACGGCTGACCGATAGACGGTATCGAAAAAGGTGAAATGTCGCACATGCCGTTCCATCTTCTCTTCCGCTCAAATGTCGGTTCTGACTGTGCCTTCCTCCCGGGGAAATTCCTACGGATGGCGAGCTCCGCGTCCACCCACCGCGGTCGACGATGGCCAAGAAATCACCGAGTTTCCCCATCTTCCCTTCGCTTCTTCGTGACACCAACTTCTTCGTCTCCCCCACAGTTGCTTAGAGAAGTGGTTCCCAAACTTCCTTTCCTTCGCATTGAACCTTCAGGCATCAAGTGGGTCGCGACCCACCGGTTGGGAACCACTGGCTTAGAGGACACCCTCGCCTCGTTGGATGGAAGGAAGACAGCCATCGACAACATCGGTTCCCCCCATATACAATTTTTCGTGCATAGATTTATACGATCCTTTTTATAGAAGGAAAACAGCTTATTCGAACGAAAACCTTTTCTTGGAGCGTATGCCTACCCGAGCAAACATGCACAAGCAGGAAGTTTAACTGAACATTGTCTTTCAAACTATTAATAAAGTGATGTAAAAGCTTTACAGTATGAATGCTGTCGATTGCTCAATTTCTGTACGCGTTTAAGAAATCTTCTTTCGAAGACGCGAGGAAACTAAACGTGAGCGACGATAAGTACACATCATCGCATCAGTAGATGATCCACTGTGACGGCACCACTCAGTGCAAAACTTTCTTACATTCAGTGGTGAATTCACTTCGGAGGCCATAACTCTTTCATTCACATCAACTTCTGTGCCAGGCCTCACCTTTGCAAGGACTTCCTGGATACGGTAACGGGTACATCCTTTCTCTTCTATTAATACTTGGCTCATTTTTCTCTAGTTATGGAAATTTCCCAGCAACTTCCCTCATCCCTGGCAAAGAGCCGAAGGAGAACACGAGATGAGCCTAAGAAATAAAGTTTTACATGCCAAGTCAGATTATGACTTGGCATGTTTTACATGCCAAGTCAAATTAGTAGCTAGTCCTAGGCATGCCGTGGAAGAGGACTTAATTCTTCTAATCAGAATATCTGACGCGAGACAGATTCTAAAAACTGTCGAAGTGGTCGGCATCACATTGTGAAATGCATTTTAAAAATAAATGAATTCAAATTCAATTGGGAATTTTCAAATAAAAATTCAATGTGGACTCGAAATTGAATTTTTAAGATTTGAATTTCATGAGATTTCTACATGACGCTGTCTCATCTCTGCAAGTGATCTCAAGGATGAGTACGGTGTGCTTCTTGCCCTGCTGTCCTTCCATAAAACATCTCACGTATCTCTCATTTTCGCCTAATTTTACTGGCAAAAACGACTAGGTTTGATCACGAACAAGAATCATTTAGCGACTCGGTACTCTTGCATCGGTCTGTCTACCGTTCTCGGATCGCGAACGAAGTCTGAACTTCTGGATCGAAAAGCACACCCCGTGTTTAGTGATTCGTCTGGATGCGAACGATCGCAATTCGCACTCATCGATCGATACAGCGTGAGTGATAAAATGCAAGACTTTTTATTTGGTTTGACACGATCGAAAACACGACCCTCTCTCATCAGGGCAGGTTGGAGTGGATTCACTCGGACGGAAACAGCACCTTAAGTTAGGATGTGGGTAGGGCATGCACGACTCGGATCGTCTTCCCCTTCCACACGGTCGAAAGACGAATGGGATCTCCCCGCGCTTCGGCACCGAGGGGAAACGGTACCGGAGGAAACGATGCGAACGCTCGGGGAATGCATATCACAACGTTCAGGCTTGCAGAAATTCCACCTCCTGCGGGACGCGTTCGGGTCGGTAGAAGTCGTCGAGAAGGGAATAGATGCTGAGGCTCCCTCCGCAATCCACTCGTTCCCACGCGTCGCATCCCGAGATGAGGTCGTTGAACACGGTCCCGTTGGGACACAGGAACCTCGAAGGAGAAAGAGAGAAAACCTCGTTCGAGGAGACGTGGCAAATGGGGAGAATGCGAATCGGATTTGAAAGAGTGAGAAACCGGTAGTCGAGGATGGGTCCCCTCAGTCCGCTCCGGGTGCAGATGTGATACATCTGGCATCTGGCTTCCAGATCCGCGTGATACTTGCCGATCTCCTTCCCCAGACACGTAAAAGACGTATCGGGGAGTAGATCGAGACTATAGGTCGGGTATGGCTTCCTTTCCTCCCCTGCCGCCGTTATCGCTCCATCTCCTGATGCAAACGACACCAAAAACGATCTCAGGCCACGATCGGCGGTGCATACGGAATTCTCTTCGTCGGAAACTCGTAATCGCAGCGAAGCCTTTAACGCTTTCGGCCCCGGCGATTCGAATGCGTCACGGACTCGAAACGCCACGCGGCGGGTACGGTGCAGAAAGCGCTAAGCGTGGGAGCCATTCGGATGCTCCCTTCACGCGAACGACGAACAAGATACTTTCGACTCGAAATTTCGCGGAGAAAAGAGCATTCGAACGACGTCGCGGTCGAAGAGTTTTCGAGGGGCTAGAACGGGGAACTTCGTCTCACCTCCGTCGGGGACTTTCCTCGCCGTCGGTACCACGGGGTTCGACTGCAAGGCGGGTCTTCCTCTCGTCGTCGTCGTCGTCTCCGTGGTTTCGGCGACTCTTTGGAACGAAGCCGTCGGGAACGGAGGGTTCCCGACCGGTGGGCCGAAGCGGACGAAACCTTCGGTCCCTCGGACGCCGCCTCCCGATCCGGAATGGCTCCCGGGCCCCACTTGCGAGACGTCTTGCTGCCGATTTATCGCCGGTCCGAACGAAGGCACACTCGTGGGAAACGAGTTCCTCGCTGGGAACTCTCGATCGACTTGGGGTTTTTCCGACTGCGGACCATCTCGTGGTTGCAGGTTCGAGGAGATGGGAGGTCCAAAATTGAGGAAACCGTTCGGGTGCGTTACGGTGACCCGTTCTCCGCCGATCGACGGCGTGGAATCGATGCCGGAGGACGGCCAGTTCGCGGATGGGGAAGGCGGTGAATTCACCACGTCTGCCGGTTGTTGCTGTTGTTGTTGTTGTTGTTGTTGTTGTTGCTGTTGCTGCTGCTGCTGGGGAGTCCCGAACAATTGCTGCTGCTGCTGCTGCTGGGGATTCCCGAATGATTGCTGCTGCTGGGGATTCCCAAACGATTGCTGCTGCTGGGGATTCCCGAAAAATTGCTGCTGTTGTTGCTGCTGGGGATTCCCGAAAAATTGCTGCTGTTGTTGCTGCTGGGGATTCCCGAATGATTGCTGCTGCTGGGGATTCCCAAACGATTGCTGCTGCTGGGGATTTCCGAAAAATTGCTGCTGTTGCTGCTGCTGGGGATTCCCAAAAAATTGCTGCTGGTGTTGCTGCTGGGGATTCCCGAACGATTGCTGCTGCTGGGGATTCCCGAACAATCGCTGCTGCTGTTGCTGCTGTGGATTCCCGAACGATGGCTGCTGCTGACGATTCCCGAACGTTTGCTGCTGCTCCGGTGGAATAATGGGGTTTTGCAACGGTTGGAGTTGCTGCTGCTGCTGGCGATTCCCGAACGATAGTTGCTGCTCCGGTGGAATGACAGGGTTTTGCAACGGCTGGAATTGCTGCCCCTCTTGTGGATTCTGCAGTAGGGGCTGAAGAGTGACAGGGTCTTGCCGCTGGAAGCCTGTAGGAAATGCTCGCGTTCCGGGCGAGGGAGACACTTGCGAATTCGTATTTCGCTGCGGGAAGCCGTTAGGATCTCGAAGAGTGGGTTCGTTCCTTCGGGGAACGAATCGCTTCTGTGAAACAAGAATCGGTTGGAAAGGGATTCCAGCGTCATTCGGGCGTATGGTGTTCTGTTGTACGTCCTCGTGCGGTGTCGTGCTCTCGACGTTTTCTACGTTCGGTACCGAAAATCGTTGGTTCACAGGCTGAAACGACGGGGTGGGAAGCGCATTCTCCGCGTCACTCTTCCTCGGATTGGAATTCGTTTTGGGTCGATTCCACCTGGATCCCAGCACCGTCCTTTGCGGCTCGTTCTGAAAAGCGCCACCGTCTGACGTAGGCGCTCTCTGCGTCGTAGGCAGATTTCCTTGATCCAAGAAATTAAACGTCCCTGGGAAGAGGAAATCTGAGGTCACCGGGGGGGATTGGGTGGACGGGATGAAAGGGAAGGAGGGGAAGGAGACAACTGAGGGGATAGGGGGAACGGAAGGGATAGGGGAAATGGAGGGAATGGGGGAAATTGATGGGGTGAATGGGACGGAGGGGATGGGGTTCTTCTTCCCGAATCCTCCTTCGTTGCGATCGAGGAAGGCGAAGTCGGCTTCCCGAGATGGAATCGGGACAGCAAGACGGTGCTGTTCTTCTTCCGTCGGTGGGAATCCTGGGAAAGCATTCTGCAACGGCGGACCTGGGGTCTGGCTGTTCCAGATCCCTTTCTTCTCGTGCCGGAAGGTGTCGAAAATATCTGGACTGATATCCGCCGGTCTGTCGCCGGAGAACGGGAACTCTCCCTCTCCGGACCTGAAGGTGAGCGTCTCGGTGAAATTGGAGCCCGGCGTCGTGAAAAAAGGGCTCGGGGTCGTGAGAATAGGGCTCGCCGTCGTGAAAAAAGGGCTAGCCGTCGACGTCGTTCTCACTGTCGTCGTCCTCGTTCTCGCTCGTGGGGCTACCGTCGATATCGTCGTCGTGGAGGTGAATTCGGGGCGATTCGAGGTCGGTTTCCTCGTCGTCCAAAATTGTTCCGAAAGTTCCACGTCCGCTTTCGGGGATTCGCTGGTGGGACGAGTCGGGCCTCGGAAGCGGGAAAATGGGCTTCTGACCCCTCCCCGTCTCACCACACCATCGACTGGGCCTTCCTCCCCCTTTGCAGGTTCTTCGTTCGGTCTTCCATCGCTCGTCTCCGGGAGGAAGTTCACTCCCCCGACTCTCGCATTCGGTTTCCCATCGCTCGTCTCCGGGACGACATCCACTTTCCTCCCTCTTGCAATCGGTCTTCCGTCGCTCGTCTCCGGGACGACATCCACTTTCCTCCCTCTTGTAATTGGTCTTCCGTCGGTCGTCTCAGGGACGACTTCCACTCCCCTACCTCTCGTCTTGGAGTGATGGACGCCGAAGATGGAAGGATCCAGGTCGGCCGGAGAGTGGTTGGATGCAAATCGAGAACCGGACGTCGATCCAACCGTCTCTACGAAGCTTTCCGTCGTCGGCGTCTCGGCCGTCGTTAGGTCCAGCCTGTCGATCTTCGGAAAATTATAATTTTGAAATATGGCTGGATTGAGCCTCGGAGCGAAGACGGTCGTGGAGGACGAAGATGGCGACGCTGTCGTCGTGGTGGTGGAGGCTTCCCCACCGAATGGGCTCGGAGTCGGCGCGAATGCTTGCCCATGAAACAACCCAACGGTTGTTGCCGTGGTTTCGACTGCAGGTGAAGGTGTGGAGGTGGCGGTGGTGGTGAGGGTGGTGGCAGTGGTTGTTGTCGAAAAAATCTTCACCCGTTTGCCAATCAAGATCTTCTTCCGCGTTTTCCCGGGATCGTCCCCGTCACCACCGCCGACACCATCATCGACCCGACGAGGTTGAGGGATCTCCGAGCGATCCCGTTTGCCTACCTTGAAATCCTCCTGTTCCAAGGGTTTAACACCGAGGGCCAAGAGGACGGTCTTTACCTTATCCCTTACAGGATTCTTCTTTCCTCGCTGTTTCTCCCTGAATTTTTTCAACTTCTCTTCCAGGTTCTCCACTTTGAGGAAGGAGGGCCCTCCATCGTCATCCGTTGGCGACACCGCAACGTCGATGGAAGAAGTCGTCGCAGGCGAAGTCGTGGTCGAAATCGTTGCGATCGATGTCGTAGACGTCGTGGTGGTCGAAGGGGACGGATTCGGAGCCCCCGCCGAAGAATCCACCGTCGTCGTTTCGGGAAGGGCAGTAGTCGATGAAGACGCCCTTCGAGGGACGAACAGACGACGTCGAAGAGGTCGTCGGAAATTCTTGGCTCCTGCATCTTGAGGCTTCGATTGTTCTCTTGGGAGGGCTGGACCGGCTGCGGAAACGGAATCTCCCTCGTCCTTGTCCCGAGCTTCCGTCGTGGAAGGTGTGACTGTTGGGACGAACACATCGTCCCCTTCTGAAGGAGGCGAGGGAGTTGCGTCGTCTTCCGTGGAAAGGAGAGGTTTCAATGGGCGTCGACGTTTTCCCTTCAAACGTGGTCTCAGTCGACGTCTTCGGCCCCTTCTCGATCCCCTCGACGGAATTCCCTCTCTCTCGTTCCCGGCTCCCTCTTCCTCGTCGTCGCGAGGCGGCGACGGGGTCGTCGTTGTCTTTTCACTGCTCTCTGAGCTTTCCTTTTTCCCAAAATCTCGGGTCGTTGCCCAGAACTCCGTGTAGTCCGTCGCTCCCTCCGACACTGAAAGGAACGTAGCGAAAATTAACTCTGCCGCCCTTTCACGGTATCCAGCCGAAGTTAGAAATAGATTGAAAAGACCACATTTTCTCCTCGTTCGCACAGGTTCGATTTCGAAGGAGGCTTCGAATCTAATCCATGAAAATAAATCACATACGGGAGAGAAAATGAAAATGTTCTGAGGCGAATAGGTTTACCAGGGAGTGAAGAGGCTTGTCGCTTCAGGCGCGGCAGGAAGGGTTTCCCATTCGTCACCGTTATCCACGTGTCGTTGGGGTTACTGAAAGGGATTCGAGGGACTTGGGGCTCTTCGGGTTTGACCTCCGGTTCGGTTCGAATCACGTACGGATTGTCCAAGTATCGCGGCCTCTCCTCGCTCGCCGATCCCTCTCCCGTCGTCACGCCCGGACTGCTGTCGTAGTAGTAGCTTCCGACGAAAAAAAAGAAGAGGACTCTGTGACCGCGGCCGAAAGACGATCGGCAGATAACTCGAGGAAGAGATGGACTGACTAGTCGTAATCGAGCGGACGGTAGAGTTCCAGGTTGAGGTGATAGAATTGAATGGCCATGGAGCAATCCACTTCGTCGATCCTCTCGCACACTCTCGTCTCTTGGTCGAAGATCGTCCCGTTGAGGCAGAGGAACTTCATGTCCCGCACCTCCCCTGGGTGAATCCGACACGTACCGTTACGCGATCCCGAATGCAATCGGTTCCCGCGAGACATCATGCAAGATGATCGTTACCTTCCTGCCCGAGGGTGCAGACGTGGAACATTTGGCAGTTGGTCTCCACATCTGCATAATAACCCCCGATCACCTTTCCCTGGCACGAGAAGTTCGTCTTCGGCAGATTGTCCCACCCCAATAGCTGCAGGCGTGAAAAAAAGAAAGAAAGAAAGGCAATCACGGCACGGTAAGTGAGATGATGTGAAATGGGGACCAGAATATACGATCATGAGATAACCCGCCGATTGCGACATGTCCCTTTTCGCACCCATTTGGTCACGTATTCACCGTTCCCAAGTGCCTCTCTTACGTCTGCATGGCAACGTTCCAGACGCTTGACAGCAAGGATGAGAGTTCAGGTTAACACTGTCAATGACGATTGGACTAGAATTTCGAGCAATTTCGGGAACTGTTTCGACTAGGATCCTCTTCGAGAGTTAAGAGGGATTTTCTTTAACCCGGAATTTGCGGGAACATTTTCTGAAGTCTCCTTTTTTTAAAGTCAAGTTGGTTCTGTCGCTAAATGGAAACCGATTTGTAGTAATGCTGGGTTTAAAACTTACACAGAACCTGCGAGAAACTATCTTTGAAATCGGTTCAATCTGTAGATGAAATTTGTCGACGAGAGAAGTGGCAAACCAAGCACCCAAACATTCTTATCCCACTGTATTGTTGAAACTGAATTCTAGACGCAGACAAGGTCTGGCTTAACAGGAGCGAAAAAAAAATTCAATTTCAAATTATCTACTATAATTTTACTTGAACACGCACATAAATGCTTACGCCGCATGCATTCTCGCATCAAAAAATTGCAGAAATTCCAAAAGATCTCTGAGAGTTGGAATTTTTATCGTAACCATAGAAACTGGGTGTGATAGTAATGTGTTTTTTTAAATTAGAAAAGTTTCTAGTTTTGGAGGAAAATCCATCAGGACCCGATTCAGATGCAAATAAGTGGGGTAATATTTAATATGTCATTTGTTTGTTCACCGGTTGAGCATTCTTATGAGCGCTTTGGCACCAAGATAAACCCTTTCTCATGCAGAGAAGTTCGAATCATCCTACCCCGAGGGACTGCTCAGGACACGGTTTGGCATAGATCGACGTGACATTACGTCAACACCAGGGTGCGAATCAACATGCGAATATCTCGCAGTACCATAACAACTGCAGCTATTCTGCTCGAGGGATGGTTCTAGATTTAAAGTAATTGCATTCAGGATCTTCATCTCATAGCGCTCTGTTCGTGCCATGTTAGCCGCGAGGTCGAATCACATTCCATAAATATTTTCCTATCACAGATTGCCATCTAAATGAGGCGTAAGTTTAAAGTGGTGTTAAATCCCATCCTCACCTGCCTGCCTCTTATCACCCTTCCAACGTGCAGCCCTCCCCGACCTCTCGTCACTCCCCTCCCATCCCTGCCAGCGTCCTTCTCACCACCTACCAACGCATTCCGACACCTTCACCACATCTCGCAACACCTTTTCAACACTCTTCAGCACACAATCAACGCGCGCTGAATGGGGTTGGATTTTCATAAGGGTTGGGAAGTGTCAAATCCCTGCCGGTGCACAACGTTTAGCCTGAAGACCGAGGCTAGGAGTTAAGTTACTTCTAAGAGTTTACCGAGGGTAACATTCATCGAAAAATATGCGAATTCTCTTGAAATCTAAAATCAACAAATAAATTTCTAAAAGAGGTGATTGCGTACCGAGATACAGGTGCCCAGTATCGAAACAGCTGACAGTGACGTATCGTTTTAATATTATGGGGCAATAAATGTTTCAGAAAGCAGTCAGCAAAAAGAAATGTTATGCATGAGATTATTAACAAAATAATACGCGTATTAAATTTCACTACCTAATTTTCACTGTGGTTTGGCTGCTAGAGAGAGAACAGATACAGACGCTGAAGAAAGATCTGTGTGGTCGTCAATGGATTTTTTTTTTCAATCGCTAAATGTTTAGCCTCCGTTCCCTAAGCCTTCACCTCACTCCGGTTTCAATTATCGCACAAAGGTATGTCACGTAAAAAGAGGATGCTGGCATTCCTGTCCGCAAAAGTAAACTAGGGAGGGAATTTAAAATAAAAAAGACCGTTTCCTATCGGTGTACCCGATGATGATCTGCCGCATTCGATCCCGCGTCTCTCGGCTTCCCGGATAAATACGTAAACCCAAACAAACCCTTAAAAAAAAAACAGCGTTTCCCCGATGATCTCCATCGGATGTAGGCCTAGTTCTTTCTATTCTCTTTCATAGCTCGCAATTTCCGTGCGAGAATTCCGTGACGTCGGACGCATCGCTCCAGATTCAGTATAAATACGAGGGTGTATCAACCCCTGTGGGTGTGCAGATTTGTACAAGCACGTGCAGATTTGTGCACAGATTTGGGCGATTTATTTTTACTGGTTCTCTGCTTGAGCCCTCACGCATCCGTTCCGATGCCACGACAGTGCTGTTAAATTGGCAGCAAAGTGATCTATCCATGTCCCCTTCGGTCAATTCAACTCCCTGCTCTTCACATCGACATCTGAGTGAAATTCACGGAATACTTACGGAAACCCAGTTCCTCGTAGATGGTTCTCTACAGATCCGACAACAGATGTCTATGGTTCGAGAAAGTTCTCGCATGTTCTCTTTCAGCGTATTTTTTTAAAATCTTATCTGCTGTACGCGTTACGTATACCGTGGATTCAGAGCTGTTGGAGGCTCGGATCATCGCACCCACTTTGTCCCCCGTCCTTGAATCTTGCGCTCCACTCTAATATTGTCAACATTCATACGCATTCCTTCCCGTGGCGAGCAGCCAACCCAAGATGAATTTGACTTAGCTCCTTCTCGAAAGAGAAATTCCATAACTACGCCTACTCTCCCTTCCATGACAGGTATTATTGCCTTCGCCGCCGTCACTTATCTTCCAAATCCCATGGATGCATGTGCATCATGCCAACACATAACGGGGAGAGTCCACTGCAACTGTTTGCCAGGCGCCTTTCGTATAGCTATTGCGACAACTTCAATGGAGTGCAAAGTGCACGCGGGCACTGAACCGCCTTCGCACATGCAAAAATCTCGCAGGAGTCTTGACAGGACGAAGAAGGTAAGATCGATGATCCCATGCCACCCGCTGCTTCTCCAACCTTCACTTTTTTTTGGAATCTTGTATTCTCATCATGGGTTGATGACTTTCTCTGTATTCTCATCGTGGGTTTACGGTTAGACTTTATCGTGGCTCCTTCAGGGTGCCGCACTAAGTCTGTCCCTCAGTCATAAACCCTGTGGTTTATTATTGCTATTATTATACAGATTTAATCAGAAAGAGGATGCATTCCAGTCTCCCAAATCACCAGTTGTCGAGGAAGGCACGACTTATCTGTCTCATGGAGAAGTCCGAATGGACGATTTCAGCCGAAAGGAATTTTGCTTTTATTCGCGAAAAGGTTCGTTTTTCGAAGAATGGCTGCTCCTGATTGAAGCTCTTCGAAACGGGTTTCTTCCATTCAGAGCCTTGGGGCTTGTCATAGTCTCAACAGATGAATGCCGAATCTTCGACGGAAACCTTATGATGACCGAAGGGTTTTGGGGAGCATGTGAATCTCACGAAGTTTCCTTACATACTAAATCAACAGCTTGTTGGTCATCGGTGTGGAATAGCGCCTTAGTTTGAGGGTGTTAATAAATGGGGTCAGCCGTAACGGAAACCGTTTTGAATCCTCTCTCTGAATCATTCGCACATGGAGAAACCAGAAAATGAAAGTGAGGTTTGTCCTTCAACGATGGACAAGATTTCTTCGTAGATTCGTTGAAGGAGAAATGAAACCGCGAGGAAAACTCACTGGGGGTGAAGAGGGAGGAGAAGCGCCATAAATCCCAAAACCATTCCAAGCCAGCAGCAACGTTCCCAATAGTAAATCTGGAAGAAAGGACGCATGGCATTTAATCTTCCCGTGGCGAATCCTTCAGACACGATTATGTCCTGATTTAATGCAGGGTAGACCATAATAATGGCATGGATCACTCGAGATCCTGAAACAAATATTCATGAACGTGACTTTAGGAACAACATTGGTGAAAGTTTCAATTTAAAAAAAAATCTCGCCACTCCTCGATATATAATTCAAATGGTTAATATTCCCAATTTGCGTCAACGAGACTCCGCATCAGACTGCGTCTGGAATGATATGGGTTGCTGCGCGGAGTCTCAAACATATCATTCTTCCCATCCATGTTTTTTTTTTCGACTCGGCTGCAATGGTGTATACGCATAGGGAGCAGATCTTATCTGCAAAAACTCTTTTCTAATCTACTGTCTTTTAGACTTATACAATATACGAAGAAACAGCTAACTGATGCGATGCAAAATTGGCAACTTCAAAACGATCGTTCTGCTTTGCAGTTTCTGCATGATGGGGCAAGGAGATGACAAAACTAGAACAAAAGATGCGTGAGAAAGAAAGCGACAGGGAATGGATGAATGAGATGATCGCATGATGGGGCTCTTTCGTTTTTTTTTCTCCCTCCCCTCTCTCTCTCTCTCTCTTTTTCCCGATTGCATAACGCAGGAGGCAACGATGCACGATTTTCCTCACCCCCAACACTTGCATCATCTCAATCACAACCCCTTGAATGGGCCTGGTATCCCTCGTTTCCAGGCAACAGCTGGTCTCTCAGCAAAAGACAAAGGAAAGAGAGTCATGGAAGACGAGGATGTGAGAAACGCTGAGGAGTCTGGAAACAGGGATCCCGATCTGGATCCGGAACCCTCGTACGAGGTTCTCGAGGGAGCGTTCGTCTTCATCAGGGGGATCGGAGCTTTCGTATCTGACGCCGAACTTCAGATCTCTTTTGAATCCACGTTTGGATCGCGGGTGATCGGGACGGTGATCCCCAGGGATCTTCTAACGGGTGTCACATTCGGCTTCGGTTTGGTTCATCTGAAGGATCCCCAGGTCGCTGTCTCTGTTGTCGATCACCTCGCACTTCAGGGATTCCACATTCGAATGGCTTCGGATCCGGAATTGGACGACTGGACCATCTTCATCTCCCATCTCCCTCCTAGCACGACAACTGATGATCTCGTCTGGATCGTCGGACGTTTTGCCCCAGTTCTTTATTGCAAGCTCGTCCCGTGTCAGAGGAATCTGGACAACTCGTCCCAGTATGGATTCGTCAGGTACGATCCCATTGGAATTAAGGAATTCCACGGAGTCTGCGAATCTCGAATGAACTGCTACATGTAGCACGCTCGACCTCGAGATGACTGTCACGCTGGGCAAAGTTTTCCTTGATCCACGTTTAGAAAAAGAGCCGAAAATCCTGCTCCTCATTAGGGGCTACGATAATTTGAAGCGAACTCTAAGAATGGATTTCCTGATGGGACTTGACAGCTTCACGCCACCTCATTGACCGTTAAAATTCCTGTTTTTTTTTTCTGTTAAATATCCATCCCTTCAAAGCATTGGAGTCATAATTCCTTTTTTTCTAAATATGTAGCTATCTTCCGTTAATGCAAGAAACGAAGTTGCTAGGTCAGTGTGCACTATTCCCCTAGAGTGATGCCAGGAACAGACGTGAAGCGGGTGATCCAAGAACTGAATGGCATGAAGTTGTCGGAGACGGGAGAGGAAGGAGATGAAGATGGGAGGGGTCTTGGAGCGCGACTGGCATTTAAAAGCAGTCGAGCAGATTCATGGTCTAATTCCCAGCACTGCATTCACAGTCTCTGGCTCCCAGAAACCAACTGCATCCGGGAACTACACGTCCTGGAGGACTGGATCTCCGAAATCCCTTCACCTGCACAGCCCTTCCACGTTGAATACGTGAAGAACTGCGTGGTAGGTCATTCCTTGCGACAAATCGGACAGCAACGACGACGAGACGGCCAGGACAACGACGAACGCATCGAGGATCCCGTGGATGAAGAGCTCTTTTTAGAATGGGCTTCGTGGTCTTTGGTAGAGACAGATGTGGAGAATCCTAGTTCATGTCTCCCTACTCCTCCTGCTTCTTAATGCCAGTAAACCCATCCCCTCTCCTGATCTTTTCCTTACTCAAACTCACTACGGATCCATGTTACTATGTTTACTGCAGGTCATTCGAACAAGGTGCCATCCTGGTCTTTGGCGATCGCCATATATAAACATCGCGTTCACATCAATGCTAGAATTCAGTTCGAGATGAGAAATTTGTTTTGCTACGGTGGTCTTTCATCATTACTTGCAACAGATACGGGGGGGGGAGGAAAGAATCTGTTCGGAGACTCTCAACTTCATCTTGATTCTTGGCTTTGAGGTCGAGGAAAGAGACTGTAGAGAAGTACATTTTTCTGTTGCATTGACTCAAGAATTCTCATTTTAAAGATATCAGACAAAACGAGCATACGACTGTCGCGATAGATATGCAACGGTTAGTGAACGCCTTCTCTCGGAAACAGACCCACATACGTATGCTCGACGATTTAACGCACATCCGCCTCTTATCGATTCCATTGACTTCTTTATTGGAGAGGGAAGAAGGATTGACCTGGTAGAGAAGAGA